TAGGGAATAGTTTTGCTGCCATAGAGAAAGAGAAAACCTTAATTCTATAAAATGGGACCCTTTTTTGAAGCACAGTCCCTCAATTCTATGCTCATGACTTCTTGAAATGGACTTCCAGCATTAATATATTATTTTGAGTACAATAACATAGGTACAACTTTCATTACTTGTACATCCAATCCTCTGCTTGGGATTTTTAATCTGAAAATCTAGGTATCCCATATTGTAATACCACTTACACTCTGTGTCTCGGTTTTATTTAATAAAGCATTTTATTTTTAACGACAGATGCCAGCATTACATAAGCATATTCATTCTACACACATCAATTAGCTAATACAATGACACAACAAAAATCTTTTTCATTGGGGTGCCTCCTGTTGTGTTTATTAATATAAATTTTTTTATTGGGATCTATTGTAACACAACAACAAAACGTGCATATATTAACCGTCTCTTAGTGCATACAATCTCACTCATCACTTCACACTACATGTTTCGGCATCATTCTGCCATCCTCAGGTGTATTAATCACATTGAACTATTGCACTGCTTGCCATCAAGCGTCCATTTATAAAATGATATAAAATGTGTATTCGTTTTGTTCATTAATAAAATTTATATATTAAAATTTGTTAAGATCTATCATCTTACATGTCGTATATCAAACTCGTGTTGCAATTTTCAATCCACTGAAAACACACAACAACGGACATAATAATACAAAGGGACTCATGTCATCCTCAAGAACACAAGATATCTGGTATTAAATAACTTATAGACCGAGTAAATAATTACCCCATTACCAGAATAGCAAAAGATAAAGAGACAGATACTATAAATAACATACATATAAAAAATAAGTACAATACAGATATAATTACAAAACTAATCACAAATACGAGAAACCAAAACAATACAGAAAAACAGAAACAGAACATTACAGAGAATCTAGATGACAAAAAACAAAAACGAAATGGGCAACATTCACATATATAGGAAAAGAAACAAGAAATATTACAAAAATATTTTCAGACACAAAATTAAAAATAGCATTTAGAACTAAGAACAATTTACAACACTTATTAAAATCAAAATCACAAATGAATAAATATAACAAAAGTGGCATTTATAGAATGAAATGCCTAGATTGCCCCATGGAATATATACGACAAACTGGAAGGAAATTTAATACCAGATACAAAGAACACATCCACGACATAAGACACAATAACAGCGATACAGGATACTCAGAACACATATTAAACACCGGACATGCATACGGTATGTTAGAAAATACTATGGACATCATAGCAACGAATAGGAAAGGACAATATTTAAACACATTAGAAAACTACCATATATATATACAGGGTGTCCCAGGAGGAATGTGCCAAACTTCGGGAGGGTGTTCCTTATGTTAAAGTATGGCAATATAACCCAAAACACCTATGTCCAAAGTTGAACGGTTACGGAGATAATGGCCCAAGAAAAGTGTGGTCTTCTGGCAGGTCCAAGCACTGTACCTCGCTGTACCTCTCAGCTGAGAGCCCTTATCTATGTTTGTCCTTGAGTGCGATGATACTCCCTAGCCGTGCTTATGTAGTTGGCTCATACCAGAACGCGCAGTCAGCACGTTACGTCATCGCTCGCCAGTCATGTGTTATGTATACTGCTTGGAAACCTAAGGACAATTATGACATGGCGAGCGAGTATTTTGTACTTCACTTTTATGGCTTTCCGTCACTCACAAGTTAGTTTGATGTTACGTACATTATTAACATTACAGAATCCACATATTCCTGCCAGTTTTAATATCTATTTTGTAATCAACAAGTGTGTAACCCCGGTCAAAGTTTGACACTTCTCTGGCCATTATCTCCGTAACCGTTCAACTTTGGACATAGGTGTTTTGGGTTATATCGGCATACTTTAACATAAGGAACACCCTCCCGAAGTTTGGCACATTCCTCCTGGGACACCCTGTATATAGAACAACAAAGAAAAACACGGATATGAATAACATAAATAAAGAAATATATAACCCAATATTTCACGAATTACACACAATTTACACAGAACAACACAACACAACCCCACCACCTACCCCCACCACACTTACCCCTAAAACATCATATCTCAACCTAAACGAAGACACACACACTCACTCACATATATGTCCAGCAGTACAATGCAGCCACATAAGAAAGACATATCATAAGACGCAGTGAGTAATAAACATTATGATGATAACATGTAACAAATAGAAAGCAAAACATAACAATAATATGTAAAATTTTCACGCTGCAGGTATATACACAATTAAAACATAAGAAGAACGACTCCCATAGCAGATGATTGGCATCACACACGAGTTTGATATACGCCATGTAAGATGATAGATCTTAACAAATTTTAATATACAAACTTTATTAATGAACAAAACGAATACACATTTTATATCATTTTATAAATGATCACTTGATAGCAAGCAGTGCAATAGTTCAACGTGATTAATATACCTGAGCATGGCAGAATGATGCCGAAACATGTAGTGTGAAGTGATGAGTGAGATTGTATGCACTAAAAGACGGTTAATTTATGCACATTATGGATACAAATCAGAGCAACAGGACGCTAAAATATAACAACAAAACGGTCTACGTCAATATCACCTTAGCTATATGTTTTGGCTTTTAAAGCCATTATAAGACAGTGTGATGATGTGTGTGTGTGTGTGTGTGAGTGTAGTCACCATGATGCCTGATGATGGCTTTAAAAGCTGAAACATGTAGCTAAGGGGATACTGACCTAGACTGTTTCATTGTTGTGTTACAAGGGATCCCATTAAAGAATTTTATACAACAAATCTTGCTTACAACTGACTAGCAGCTGAAGAGAAACCAAGATATTTCGATGTGAGAAAAAGAAAAGAACTGTTATACTAGATCTCACTTCTGTATAGTGTAGCCTTAACATCATATAAATCAAGATTTCTTGATTGTAAAAACAGTGACACTTTCTCAAACAATTTTTATTCTAATGTGCTCCAGATATCAGTCTGATAAAATATTTCTGAATTCTCTTATAAAAACTTAAGAGTTGAACACATATTGTGGAAACATGCCATAGAGTATATTTAGAGAGGATTATCATGAAAGAGAGGTGATATAAATGTTAGGAAATTTGCAATTCCAGTCACTCCTGAAATGAAAACAAACTGCTACAGAACTGTATCTTCCTAAATACTATCAGGATTGTACTGATAATTCTGTAAAACATTTGAAAGAATGTTTCTTTGTTCTCTTGTTCGACACATTATGGCAGAAAGAAATTATAAACAAAATTTTGGATAATAAAAGGGAAGGTATAAAATATGGTATAATCATCTCAATTACCAAAACAAAATCAAATAAAATTAATTTATTTATGGTATATTTAATGATGCTGATAGCAGCTCTGACAATATAGCAATGAATGACATGACACTTAATGAATAATGAATTGGAAAGGATATGGAAAGAAATGGTCATGCCCATTTGAAGGTACGGGGGAAAGGCATGAAAAACCTTGGTCAGGGCAGTCAGTGTCCCAGCCAGAATTCAAATTGAATACTTCCAAAACAAGTCAACTTGCTTGTTTCATGGGTATGAAAGGCAAAGACTTTGAAGATCAGAAATTGTAAGAAATATTCAATAACTGAGCAAGTTAATATTTTAAAGGATATGGATAACATTATCTTGACCATCAAAAACAGATGTGGATAACAAAATAAGTAACTATAATAAAATAAATAAAATTGTAAGAATTTTTAAAAAAAGGATGTCAACAAATGTGCAATACAGATTCCATATGATATGAGCTTACATTTAAAAAAGGATGAGAAGAGACTGGAAAACTCAAGAGATGTGATTCATCCCTGGTAGCAGTTACACAGACAGACCTAACACCTAGTGAAACAATTATCGAAGATGTTGGATTTGAGGTTCTCGCAGTTGTGACAATGAAAAGTACTTCCTTCTGGAATGTAATTCCATGCAGTACATTTTAAACCAACTGACTTTCAGAGGAATGTCCTTCTTCCATCCTCAGGGTAGAACAGTAAGCCAAGCAAGAAACCAGAAAGAAGCAGGTGACAAGATGCCCGCTTCTTCGGAATTCCCAATGCAGTACAGGCCATGCTTTTAGACCTGGCCTCTGGGAAGCGCATAAGGGGAAGTGGTACAACCTATACACACTACAATCCTGACCTCAGTGGACTCAACCAAACCCACTGGAAATTCTGCTGAGAAACAGACCTAAAAGCACAGACAGTAGATGATACTGAAAAATATAGACTAATTGGAAAATGCAGAGAGGATGGATAATTTGAGTCTACCTATGAAAGCCTATTATTATATACCTAAAATAAGAAGAGAAGTGGGAAGATCTGTCAAAGTATGGTCTGATCAATTCTGATAAATCCAGGTAGCCCAAAGCACTGGTTTCTTTTTCAGTACTACCACATTAGCCCAGAGTTAAAATCTAGCCATCAGACCTACAGTGGAGGAGGATGTAAACAGAGAAGAAGCTCCTTTATTCTTTAAACATTACTGAATACTGAAGTTGTCAGATTAAGACAGAATGGATGTACAGAAAGCACTGGAAATAATTATACATGGTCAAATGGAATGCAGGTCTATACAAAAGACCTGATACCACAATTCTGTTTAGTTTCAGTACTTTGAACGCCATTCATCATTTAGATTTGACGATAAAATGAAATACCGCAGATCCTATTGATGGACAAGGTATGAAGTATTAGAACTAACAATATACTCTGATCAAAACTTTCATAAATAGTTTTAAAAGATTAGAAAAGGATTTGTGACACTAAAAAAGTCTAGTTCATTACTACGTACCTGTCGCTGGATGTGAGAGACCCTGGCAGCTGTCTAATGGGAGGAGAGGGACTGAGGATCAGGAAGTACATGGGACAAGCCCCATACACGGTGACATACCTGTTACTAAAGTTGTCTATTGTATGAGTGGGGCCTCCTGGCTGACCATCACCCCGGTTTGTCAGTTTCTGCATCAGCTTGGCACTCGACCGTCTTATTGAAGCCCGTAGCTTCGAGAATGAAGCACTGCGCCTGAGTTTGCCATACTATAAAACAAGTGGGAGAGACAAGGGGGGCAGCAGATATGAGCCAGCGAACTGGTATGTGTACAGATGCCATTCAATAGAAACCTCATGATATCGTTAGCTACTTTCTTTACCAAGACAGTTAATGGTACGATCAATATGCAAAAGAGGACACAAATTTGTAATAAATTAATTACGATATCAGAGAGAACATGTATATTAACTGGCACTGTACTAAGGGAAGGAGCTAAAAGCAGGCAGTAATCATTCCCACACAGTCAATCACCAAGCATCAGTACTCACATACTTTACAATACAGATAATGCGTATGTTATTGGCTGTGTACAGAGAAAGCCTTCATAATAAGATTCCTACTGTTATCCCTTAACAGCTCACTGACACTATTATCAACAAGTTTGTAGTTTTGGTTTTGCTTCCCGCAGTTCAAACAAATTAATATAAATGGAAAGAAATACAATTAACCCTAAGAACTAAATATAAGACAAGTTATTTGAGTTGTCTGAAGCTGTAATATAAATGAAAGATTTATTAATCCATATCATTTCCAGATATAAAATTCAAGAATAGGATATATAAAATGAAGGTCATCATTATGTCAGAAGACTAAATGCACTAATGTGCAATTTATAGGAATTTGTATACTGTTGATACATAAAATCAAGAACAGTATTTACTTCTGGCAGTTAAATCCAGATTGTAAACCAAAAGGCATCTTAGAAATTGGAGGCAGCACAAATGTGTTCTTAAGATCATAATCAGACTTCACTAGATTACATCACCAAAGAAATTCTGATATCAGAGAAAAATTAAAAGTTATAAAATACTTAATGAGATATAAGGACACCAAAAAAGTAGAAAAATCATTTTGCAACATGGAAAGAGGCTGCTTTCACAAATGGAATTTTATTATTGACCAAGGGGCACAATGAGATGCAGAAAGACAAAAACAACACTGAGGAGGCAAAGACCATCATAGATTCATATGAACAAAGTTTTACAACGTACACCTACAAAGCTGATGACAATGATGATGGTACGCTGATCATGAATGAACAAAATCTATTTTTTATTATTAATATTCATAATTCATTTAAATGTATAACTTATGAAAATTATTATCACATGAAAACCATGCACCTGATTTCATTAAATTAAAATCATTAATATAATCTAATTTTAAGAATACTGACATAATTGTCTAAGTTAGTTATATCAAAATGGATACAGTATGATATATTTCTTTGAATTGGGTCCATCTTACTATTTTATGAAAGTGAAAACTACCTCAAATAGAAACAAAGAAGTAATCAGTGTAAGGACATATATAACAAAAGCTTTCGCAGTTCACAGTAAGTATGACAACTATCTACTGAGGCAACTGTTGTAACTTTGTCAGCACTTAAGGTTTTTTTCTGTATCTTAACATTTGACTCCTCAGTGACCTACTGGATTCTGATGACAAAAATGCTATAAGAAATATTGCTTCATGAGAAACGAGAAAACTTACAATGAACTTAAAATAATGTGAACTTCCACACGTTAATATGCTCTTCAACAATGTAAAGTGTACATGAAAAGTAACTCAATTTGTAAATTCAAGTAGCAGTAGCAGTAACAGTAGTAGTAGTAGTAGTAGTAGTAGTAGTAGTAGTAGTAGTAGTAGTAGTAGTAGTAGTAGTAGTAGTAGTAGTAGTAGTAGTAGTAGTAGTAGTAGTAGTAGTAGTAGTAGTAGTAGTAGTAGTAGTAGTAGTAGTAGTAGTAGTAGTAGTAGTAGTAGTGGCAGTGGTCACAATGATGCCCAATTTTAAGATGGCACAACAAGAATATTGCAAATGTTGCCTGCAACTAACTATAAAAGGCTAGGTGCTTAAAAACCGAACTTAAAAAACTATAAATAAGGAAAGAGCATGAGTAAAGGAGAAAGTGATCCATCTTGTAAATCATAAACTCCACAATTTTGATAATCACAGAATATTTATTGCATTCAATGGCTTTTCTATACAGAATATGTCCAACCTTAATACAAAATATGGAGTTCATCAAAGACTCTCTAAAAGGACTCCATAAAATTTAAAGCAGAGAATTAAAGATTGCTGTGCCTGACTGTGAGATTTCAGGCCAATAACGGTCAGTACCACTGTCCCAGAAGTCTTCAATTTACTTTGGAATAGTAAAACCAGTAAACATAGTGAATTTATGGAACAAAATAGTAGTAATAATCAATAAATAACTGCTTTATTACAAACAAAATTATACACTAGGATAGGTATGTTCATGTACAATACACCTCCATGTAAATATTTGTTCAAAAATTGCTTTGTAAATTTTAACATTGTACTATTATCCATACACTCCCTGCATTTCACAATAAATTTGCAAACATCAGAGTCAAAATTACTGAAATAATAATAATAATGATACAAAGAAAAAAGAGCATCTTTTGTTCACTACAGGAAATAGAACCTTCTGAGTGAAGTGGTATGCTGAACAACAGGACCGGCTGCATGAAATTACTTTCTAGACTCACCCTGCAGTTATTTAGTACCTGCTAATGATAGTGCCTGTAGTCTCCAGCCAGTGAACTGTCCGGATTAGACAAAGGACTTTAAAGACACAAAACCCAGTAAGGAAGAGTAAAATGTAAACAATTAAATAATAATAATAATAATAATAATAATAATAATAATAATATAAAAAGAATGATACATTCCTTTCCTTTAATATTAATTATTTAAAAATGTAGATTTTGTTCTGATAGTCTTAGAAAATTTCATGAATGAAGGCCAAATGCGTGGAAAAGTTTGTTTTTGAAGCCACCCTGACGTACATCGGAACTTGGGTTGGTGAGTTGGCTTTGGCCTTCCGGAGGGCTTCTCTGTACATAGCCAATGGGTGCAGGCGTCTGCAGACAGACAATCACAGACAAGTGCTTCAGTCTGACAAAGAAAGAGGTCAGTGTGCATCTGTGTGTGAGAAAGAAAGACAAAGAATTCACCAAGAAAAGCTTTTCTTAAACTTTTAGCAGATCAAAGAGAGCAAACTATCTCAGTGTAAATGTTTGTTCCTCCAACTTCTCTGAAGCTTATACATCACTATTCACTTCTTGGCAACATTAGGAGAGAGACAAGATGTTGCGGGGGAAAAAAAAACCACACACACACACACACACACACACACACTACTTCTGTGACCAATGGGATTACCTCTACTAGAGAACACACTTACTAAAGGATCAGGAGAGGAAATTACATACATATGTACGTACGGTTAACAGCTGAAAGGGAAACCCTCAAAAGCACCTTTCGCTCCATTCAAACAAGTTATTATGTTTAAGAACTGAACACTCACTATCATTATTTACATTCTAAGCCAATCTTTCATTATGTTCTAGAAATCCACTGAATAAATGGAAATTGTTCTTCTACAGTTTCATTCTAAATAACCACAAATTCTGCATTTGGCCAAGTACTTCTTTTATTAGGAGAAGAGTTTACTTACTTTTTATTAGTTTTATTTACACAGTCCTATATATATATATATATACTGCAAAAGACTGACTTAGAATCATATACATTTAGCACATAACAAAACAATGGAACTGCATGCACACAAACTCAACAATAAATGTGTATACAGATAATGATAACAGGAACAAACATATTGTTGAAAACAAAATATTAACTGTGAAGCAGTGTAATAAAAATCTGTAATATACCATACTCAACATACTGTCACTTACCCAGTAAAACAATGTTTCCACTATCACCAGGTTAAGAAAAATTATCTTCTTTGTATATGTCTGATGACACAAACTGTAATCTATTCTGCCGAATATTTCTGCGTATTAAATGCTACATCCCAGATTATCCAAGTTAAGAGTGATCAGCATGCTTGTTTAACGTTTATATCAAAGTTTTATTAAAACAAATTATTAACTTGGAGTGATTTAGTCAACCACATGGCACCACACCATATCAGCCTCAATGGACTCCATCAATTCACACATTTGAATACAAAATGTGTTGCATATTTATCAGGAAGGGATGTGAGAGCAATAGAAGTATTTACTTTTAGTTCTCATTTTTAATGTTTTCAAGCATACTGTATTACAAACTTAACTTCTTTTTTACTGCATAGAACTGAATGCTGGAAGGAATGCCATATGACATTTGTTGAGCATTACTATGTTACATGAACTTTAGTTATGCAGTAAGTAGGTCTTGACAGAGCAAGTAGTCTTTGGTTCAGTATAATGTGTATATTCTGTGAATACTGATAATATTTTGACGTGGATATGTGAAGTGTACTACTCTACATAAAGGAGAAGGCTGTTTCTGTATATTATTCATGGGAGATGGTGTTCAACAGCCTCAACATACTGTTTCATAACATGTCAGACTGAACACAAGAATGCGGGGCAAAGCAGGCAAGTTAATACTTCAAAGCAAATTAAAACACTTCTGGTTGGAGGGAGCAGAGGTGGGGACAGAGAGTGTATGTTAAAAAAGATATTCTAACATGTTTTGCCACTGACGACACCGTTTGGAGTGTTAATGGGTTTATTCAACAACCTACTAATTGTAATTACAATTAATTATGACAATGTTGCGGGTTTACACACTTTACAAAACCTACTAACAAATCTCTTCGCACTATCACGATTCACTCGCTACAACTGAACTCGGTGACTACTACAATTCAACTGTCTTTGGCGGCTGCTACATTTCAACTGACTTGTTATTCTATCTCTAGTAACTCTTACAAACCCTCACTCGGACAGTGGAAAACCCACATCGCTTCACTGTTGCTTGATGTCGTGTTTACCAATTGCCTAGCAACAGTTGTTGCACGGGCTCACCTGTTGTGTGACGTAACAGCCTCGCGGGGAAGGGTGTTTACCGAGCGTTGCGTAATGATAGGAGTGGGGATACGTGACGTCACTCATGGAAACGAAGAGTTCACGTGACCCCTACTTCCTGTTGCGCCATCCACACTGCTCC